ATTGCATTAGCTTTAATTTAAGATATATATATAAGTGTTAGACTATCCGGAATACTTTCAAATGTTAAGTTAAAAAAGATTTTATTTTAAATCCCCCCTGTGGGCAGGTAAAGGGTCAGATTTCAAAAAAATATATACCAAATGATAATTAAAGACATCTTGCTGCTATAAATAAAAATTACATTGATTTGGTCATTTTTAAAAAGATTATGGCAGTTAAAGTAAAAAAAAATGATAAAAATATCAAAAATTTGCGATTTTTAAATTATTATATTTTTTGGAGATCTCTCCCATTTACAGGAAACTAGGGAAAATTTTTCAATTTTTGAGGGTAATGTCATCGACTAGATTCGATTTGTGACCTTTTGACGTATCGTTGAAAGAAATTGGTTTGGCGAGAGCTGAGAAAAAGATGTAACAGACACAAAAAAACACATAATAATAATATTAATACCTTCTCAGCTTCGCATCGAAGCTAAAATATTTAAATTATGTCTATTTTTCAAGTAATTGAGTGGGTTATGGTAAACAATTCACTCTGTCTATCAAAAGAAATTTCATTTATACCTACAAGACTTTGAAATACTGGTACAAAATATTACATCATAATTTCATATATACATTTACAGTTTTTAAATTATGATGTAACATTTTGGTTGGGTAGACTTATAAATGGAAAAACTAGGAACGAGTGATTTTAACATGACTATAATGAAAATTTAGCAGAAATTTTACATTTCTGTAAAATTTTGATAAATAGTTATAAAATTATAAATTTGTGTAAGAATTTCAATACTTTGTGTCAAAATTACACATGAAGATATAAAAATTTTAAAAATGTTATAGAAATTATATATTTCAGAATTACATTATTAAATTATTTATTTTTTTACAGGATGAAACACGCAATCCAACGCTGAAGATTCTGAAAAATGTGCACTAATCTCACATATCCTGATCATTTACGTCCATTTAATAGATACCTTCATTAATTGTTCCTTGTATATATATTAAAAATTCACAACTTCAATTTCGATAGAACATACTGAGAATAATTACCAAAAATGCAATTTTCGAATATTTCATAAGCTCTTAAAGTTCTTATGTTCAATGGTTATAAAAGATTTTTACTAAACCACTTAAACATATTATATCCTCTATTAAACCAGTGTTTCGAAATATTAGTATCAAAATGATATAAGTAATATTAAATAATAATAATAATAAATAAGAGTAATAAAATAAAAATAAAAAGCATTATTATAACATGGCATACAAGCGGTATATAAAAATAAAAATAAACAGACCTACGCTTCACCTCTAATCTATATATTTAAGTACTAATAACTTCAAAAATACTGGTTCAAAAATGATTAAAAACCGATAATTTTCTTCTTTTTAAGCTGCAAATGGAATAAGTTTTTTATTTAAAAAACTTAAGTTTAATTAACTTTGTAATTTTGAATTTGTTTAAATAGTTTATTTTTATTTTAGTAGACACATAATATACGGTGGCGGCGTCGTAAATTTTACAGTTCGATATATCTTTTTTTGTATTTTTTCTTAATTCTTTTTTGAGGTGGAAAAAAATTCTAAGTTTGTATGATTTTTATTTTATTTAAATTGAATAACTTTAATAAATATCAAGGATCTCATCACTGTAAAAATGTTTTCTTATTCTTATTAAAATATTTTACTATTTGGATTTTTTTTTGTGTCTGTCGTTAATTTTTCTCAGCTCTCACTTGACTAATTTTAATGACCAATGCGTTAAAAGAACACGATTTTAACCTCGTTGAACTTATAATCACCAAAACATGGAAATAACTTTTTAAATATAGAAATTCAGACAAATATCTCAAAATTACACTACTGTAAAAGTTACCATTTTAAAAAATGTGGGTTAGCTGTGGGTGTCAAAAGGCTGTTGTTATAGGAAGAGAATAAGGGTAACACCTAGGTTTGAGGTGCAGACGAAGTGCAAGACACATATACTTTGGGTATAGGAGAGGACAAAGAACAGGGGTAGCCCAGTATGAGGTGCAGACGAAGTGCAAGACACAAGTACTCTGAAATGTTGTGAAAGAGAGTAGATAGGTTTAAAAAGGAAAAAACAAAGACTTTACTTTAAGCACTAAGCCGGACAGCGACAACAGTGTACTGAGACTGATGAATGACACGAGGCACTGGAGTCGACTGACCATGATGGTCAGATTTTTTGGGTTTTTATAATAATTTGAACTATTGCTAATTTGGCAATAAATATTATTTGTTAATTCATCAGTCTCAGGAAGCGGATGTGCTGTCTGTATTTTATTATAATAATTCTCACAATAATGGTAACGTGACATCATCATAATGGGAATATAAAATTTGTATTTATATTGAATTACACAGTTAAATAATATCAATAAAAAAGTAGTTTTTAATAATTATACACGAATATATACTTTACTTAACCAAATTTTTACGCTGTTTTAATGTCTGAAATCAGGTTATTGCTATCACCCCGTTTTTGAGATTATTAATTAGAAACACACGTAAAAATTAATCAAAAAAAAAAAATTTTTATCAGGTTATCATTAATTTTTAATATGTTGAAAATAATTTGTGCAAAGTTTAATTCAAAATTACATTTTTAACTTATTTATTGATTCCTTAAAGTTGATATTTATGAAAGTTTTTAATTTAAAAAAGTTGACATTTTAAATACAATTTTAGCTTTAATTGCAAGGTTAGAATTTATATCATTAAATATAAAGTTTTATGAGGAATAAAATATTTTACTTTTTAGATTGATTCATGAAAAGAAATGTATCTAATTATTATTAACAGTAAATTTATGAGAAAAACTCAAAATTTCTTTAAAATCGCTAGTTTTTGTATTTTTATTGCAATAATTCTCTTGGTGTTTAAATAATTATTTATTTTGATATACTGAACATATTACATTCTGTTTGTTACATATATTTATTGATTATTATATGGGTAAGCTATAAATCAAACATAAATATTTGTTATATTAAATAGAAGGATTTTGTTATTTAGTACATATGCGAAACTTTAATTGCAGATTTGAAATAATCGCAAAAATTGGTTTATAAAAGTAAATTTTGGTCTCTGATGAACATTACTTGTAAACCAGTGAATGTATTTATAAGTAACAAAAAATTTAATTTGAAAAGTATTGCATCAAGCCTTTCAAATTTTTTACATGTTTATAATTTGTGACAATTTGCTTTCTCTGCAAAAATTATAATACTATATTTGTGCGAGGATGATTCATACCTCATTGCAGTATTGTCAATATAGCGTGCTGAAGCGAAATGACATAACAAATTTTGTACTATAGCGATCAATTGTTAATGTTAATCAACGTATTAAATACAGATATACATAATGAATAAATCATGACAAAATATTACCCTCAAATCAACTTTGGAGTCGGGTAACTGGCAGTGTATGTACGGCGCGTGACAGAGTAGCGGTTGCGTATCGCGAGTATGGCGTATACTGAAACGACTACTTCTAGATAAGTTATCGCCACCAACGTTACACACGGCGTATTATTGTTCATAGCACCAACATACACCCCCGTTGGAAGACGTTGGTCGAATGGCTTTCAAAATTAATTTGTGACAATAATCAATTTTTCTCGTTACCTTACTCCAAGAGTTAAAGGGGCATTTGAATTAAACAATAAAAGTATTTATACATATGTAATTAAAACAGAATAATAATTCTTTAATAGATCGACTTGTCGATATAATATGCAAAATAAACTTGAACAAAAAAATGTATATGTAACTAAAACCGAATAACAATTTTCTAATAGACTGACGGGTCTATATAATGTACAAAATTCAAATATTGAAAAGAAAATTACAAAACAAAAAAAAATAATAAATTTTATGTTTTATTATACTCCTATTATAATGCTAATACAATAAGTTAATAACTATAAACGTAAGGATAGGAAAAAATAGGATGTAAGGTCAATGGTCGCTTTATAGGTATCAGCGCTAGTTAAACTAGCGCTGATACCTATAATCCCTGATGTCGGGATCAGGGATTTCGGTGAACGGTTGGCCAATTAAAAATGCGCCAGCGTTAAGGGAACTAAGTTATTCGAATCAGATGACGTAGTAGTTAAAGGACGACTATTTAAAACAGATTCAATGCGATACATTAGCGTAGTTAACTTTTCAAAATTGTATCTAGTCGAAGACATTATGCTTAAAAATTGAAAAAATTTCCGTCGTTCCTGTAAATGGGGGAAACCTCCAAAAAAATTTACAAATTTAAAAATCGCTAATTTTCGAAATTTTTTCAATTTTTTTTACTTAAAAATGCCATAACTTTTTTAAAAATAAACATATTAATATAATATTTTTTTTTTATATGTGACCCTTTACTTGCCCACAGGGGGTGATTTAAAATGACAACTTTTTCACAAAAAATTAACTTTTTCAACTTCACTTTTGAAAATGTTCCGGAAAGTCTGACACTTTTATATATATCTTAAATTAAAGAAAATGTAATGTACTTTAATTTGAAAAAAAAAAATTTGACCTCTGGATTTGTCTTCATGGTAAAAATGGCAACCGAATACTATTTTCGTGTGAAAATTCTCGATTTTATTTTTTATATTATATTTAACTTTATTATGCTATAACTTATGGAAAAGTGTATGGATCCACACAATTTTTTTATGAGAAATAATATTTTATAATAAACCCTTTTTCATTCGACATACTTTATCTTAATCGAGATATTATTAAGGAACCAGCAGATCATGTAGCTTTTGGAATAAAACACCAATTTTTTTAAAATTAAACACTATCTAAAGATTTGCATCGAAGCGTTTATTTTTGATAGTGATTTTAATCACTGTCAGATATCATTATACTTGATCCAACTATACCACGGCACCACTGTGCTGCAAACCCCCTGTGCTGGGTTTTTTTTATATGATTTTAGATTTAAATTTTATGATAGTATAAAAATAATAATAAAGTATATTGAATTTATCAATCAATATTACATTTTAATTAATTATTCATTTCCAAAATGTCTTAACAAATTTAGATTAATTAAAAATATTCTTCATCATCTTCGAGAGAACAATATTCTGCTGAATAAGAATTCTCATCGGAGTCCAAAAATTCAAAACTGGTTATTGAGTCAATGTTTTCTAAAATAAATGATAAATTAATAATTTATTTAAACAATTATTATTAAACAAACGAGATATTATTTCAGTATTACTAAGATTAAAAAACATAAATTTGATTTATTTTTTTTTCGGTCATTCTTCTTTGCTAGTTCTAATTTTATATGAATTACATTATTTTAATAAAGTATTAGGAGATTAAGTATATATGTTTGATTTTTCAACTTACCTTCAGTGCTATCTTCACTTGTTGAATTTCCAAAAGATCCTGTAATCAAAAATATATTAATATAATTGAGAAATAATTATAAAAAAAAAAAAATTAATTACAATACCTTGTAAAATCTAAAGTAGCATTAATAAAATGATTCTAATTTATCCGGAATTTTATCATTAAATACATTAATTACAAAAACTAAATAAAACAGAAAAAAAACTATTGTCTTCAATCATTGATATTAAAAAAAGTAATTAATTAGAAAGCTTATAAATTAACAAAGTTAAATAATAGAATTTAATAAACCAAAATATAAAACTTAACATCTATGTGTCTAATGTCACAGTGCTTATACAGGACTCTTAATGTCATAGATAAATATATTTAATATCCATATTAATTTAATGTTTATCAATTAAATTAATTAAAAATAAGGGGAAATTTCATTTTATTTTATTTTTAATTCATAATTAAATAATTGTAAATGTTGATATTTTTTAATATTTTTACTTTATAATTTAGGTTAATTTTTTCAATTTAAGAAATATTAAATTTAAGTACATTATATAAAGTTGAATGTCATTTATACAAATATTCTTGGTTTCCTCTATTGATTTTTTGTGGTATTTTATTAATTCAACTTAAAAAAGTATAAAATTATAACACAATATAAAAGCTTTGTTATTTGTATACAATTTTTTTTCATATATTAACAAAGGTGATAAAAATTATTTTCCTATATGGAATACTACTAAAAATACACAAGTTAACACATAAATAATAAAAAAAAATTTTTAATTGAAAAAAAAGATTATTTGTCGTTACTCCTGTTCTTAATATAATAACTGTAAAAAAATCATATAAGTGCACATTAAATTTAAATCTGTAATAAACAGCTGTACGTAAATAATTAAAATGACGGATGTAGCTTAACGTTTAGCATTTACAATATTTTTTTAATATACATTAAATAATGTTTATTCCTACCCATTTGGCATTTTTAAACAGTAAACGTTAGACAATGGTTGATAACAGATTAATATTCAAACATTTATAAAATAACAGAGTATAAATATTTGTTAAATATATTTCTATAACCTTTTAGATTCGATGCAAAGCTGAGGAGGTATTAGTATTTTTTTTTTCTGTTGCCATTTTTTCTCAGCTCTCACTTGACCGATTTTGATGAACAATATATCAAAATATCACAAATCGTATTTAGTTGAAGACATTACCCTTAAAAATTGAAAAAATTTCCCTCGTTCCCCGTAAATGGGGGAAATTTCAACAAAAATTACAGTTTTTAAAATCGGTAATATTCGTCATTTTTTCATAAAACTATCATAAATTTTCAAAAATTAATAAAACAGCTTAATTTTTTTTTTTATGTTGGAACCTTAGATATTTTCTTTTCATTTGACATCATTTTTTTGAAAAAAAAATTTTGAAAATGTTCCGGAAATACTGCGTCTTTTAAACATCAATCAAATTAAAGCTTATGTCATGTACTATAAAATGAAAAAAAAAATTTGTCTCGACAACTTAGATTCTATGTGGAAATAGCTAGCGTAGTTAAAAACATGTTATTTTTGTGTTAAAATTTTTGATTTTCGATTTTATATTTTCAAGTTTAAATTGCTATAACTTTAAAAAAAATGTATGTATCAACACAGTTTTTTTTTCTAAATACATTATATATATCTCTTCTATTTAACATACTTTTAATTGGATATTTTCCCTTTATACATAAAGCATTCAAAACTTGAAACACACATATAAGGCCTAGATGTCAATTTTAAACTTGTAATTGAGCTAAAAGTTATGGTAATATATTCAATTTTTTTTTTGCTATAAACTTTCATAAATCTTTATCAAACATTTTTCATCAACTTAAAAGAACCAAAAAAATAGGTTAAAAATGAAAATTAGGACTGATTATTTTTGCTTGAAGTGCTTGAGGATATATCTATGTTTTCAGTTGGTTTCGGACTCATTGCAGAGTCCACCTTCAAAGTGATGGTTGCTAATCGGTGGCTGCAACTATACAAATATATATATGCAAATATGATTATTTTTAACATATTTTTTTGTTCTTTAGTTATTTATAAAATAATAAAATTTACAATCTGTACATAAGAAAGATACAATAAGCAAATAAGTGAACAATAGAATATAACACATTTGACTTAAAAACGGGAAAAAGGGAAGCTATCCAGTGATGGGATCCTTTTGACTTGAGTTATTTTTAACATATTAAAAATCAAATCAGTAATAATTTGAAAACAAATTTTTTTTTTCTTTTAATTATTATTTTTTATATAATTAGTAATAATATAAAAATTAGAAGTGATAGAAAAAGTTTAATTGCAGATTTGAAAACAACGTGAAAAGTTGATATAGAAAAGTATATTTTTGTTTTTGATGAAAGTTCCTTGAACTCCAGTGAATTTTTTTATAGTAACAAACAGTTTTTATTGAAAATTATTGTATCAAGATCTTTAAATTTTTACACGTAAAAGTAAAGCAAAATATAACTTCTTTATTATTTTTATAATTTCTCCGTTTAAATTACAATATTAAATTATTGAATATCAAATTCATACTAAATTTAAAAACTATAATTAGTATTTATTCATATATTATATTTTAAAATCAAAGAACTACTAATCAGGATATAATTAAAGAAATAAGAGTTGTTGATGTTACTTTTGAAATAATCCACCGATTTCCTACTTTAAAAAAAAAAAAATTTGATTGGGAATTTTTTCAGCTATACGCCAAAATTACTCGTTCGTTGGCTAGAATGAATCATTAAATAGAAAATTATATGAGAATTAAAACAATGTTATTTTAAAGATTAATATGCAGGTAGGAAATTTTATAATTACTATTTACTCTACATTTATTAGAAAAACTCATTATTTTTTTGCATTTTAATCGTAATAGAACACTTAAATAGAAATCATTTCTAAGTAATTTTTGGTAATTAAAAAGATTCTACAATTGAAATATCCAGAACTGATTTAATTTTAATGATTTGCTTTAACTAGAAAAAAAACCCAGCACAAGGGGTCGCGGCACAGTGGTGACGTGACATATTTGGATCAAGTATAATGATATCTAACAGTGATTAAAATCACTATAAAAAAAAATCGCTTCGATGCAAATCTTTAGATAGTGTTTAATTTTAAAAAATTGATGGATTATTCCAAAAGCTACATGATCTGCTAGTTCATTATTAATATCCTAATTAAGATAAAGTATGTAGAATGAAAAAGGGATTATTAAAAAATATTATTTCTCATAAAAAAATAATGTTGATCCATACACTTTTCAATATGTCATAGCATTATAAAGTTAAAAATGTAAAAAATAAAATCGAGAATTTTCACACAANGAAATCGGTTCGGTGAGAGCTGAGAAAAAGTGGTAACAGAAAAAAAAAAAAAAAAAAAAAAAAAATAAACACATCTTAGTAAAACCAATACCTTCTCAGCTTCGCATCGAAGCTAAAAATAGGTGGATTATTCCAAAAGAAACATGATCTGCTAGTTCGTTATTAATATCCTAATTCAGATAATGTATATCGAATGAAAAAGGGATTATTAAAAATTATTATTTCTCATAAAAAAATTATATATATAAAAGTGTCAGACTTTCCGGATTACTTTCAAAATTTAAGTTGAAAAAGTAAATTTTTTCTGAAAAAGTTGTCATTTTGAATCCCCCTCTTTGGGCAGGTAAAAAGTCAGATTTATAAAAAAATTATACCAAATGATAGTTAAAGACATCATGCATCCATAAAAAAAAGAATTATATTGATCCATACATCTTTCTAAAAGTTATAGCATTATAAAGTTAAAAATATAAAAAATATTTTTTTTACAAAAATCGTATTTTTTTTATCCACTTTGATGTCTGTTTTTACCATTAAGATAAAATAAAGTCCGAAATTTTTTTTTACCAGAATAAAGAATATTACATTAGCTTTAATTTAATATATATATAAAAGTGTCAGACTTTCCGGAACACTTTCAAAAGTTAAGTTCTCACCTTCGCATCTAAGCTAAAATAATAAAGTAGTTGTATATTCCTTTACTTTTAACGTGTATAAAAATATAAAAAGATTGATGCAATACTTTTTGATAAAAAATGTTTGTTACTTACGAATAAATACATTGGATTACAAGTAACTTACATCAGAAACAAAAATATCTTTTCTAAATCAACTTTTTGCGATGTTTTAAATGTGCAATTAGACTTTTTCTATCTAAATTTTAATATTATTACTTATTATTAAGAAATAATTAAGAAAAAAAATTGTTTTAAATTAATACTGATTTTGATTATTAATATGTTAAAAATAAGGAAAATAACTAAAATAACCAATAAAAAAAAAAAAACACATTATAGTAAAATTAATACCTTCTCAGTTTCGCATTGAAGCTAAAAAAGTGGTTAAAAAGATAAAATTTGATTATAATTGTAAAAATCCATTGTTAATTCAGGAGAAACTAACAATCATTTTTTTTAGAAATGATTTATATAGCAACATGTTACCAAAAAATTTGTAATATTATAGTCTAGTAGTAACATACACAAATAGGGTAAAAAAATTATTAAATTACAAAGTAAAATAATTTAATTTTGTAGTTGAAACCTATCATATAAAATTATCATATCAAACTTGATTCGTCAATAAATACTCTGAAAACATTAGAAATGAATGATTTTAATTGTTTTAAATAAGTTATGGATTTTTAAATAAGTTATGGAAATTTTAAGTAAAAAAAATTGAAGAAATGTCGAAAATTAGCGATTTTTAAATTTATAATTTTTTGGGTGATTTCCCCCGTTTACGGGGAACGAAGGAATTTTTTTCAATTTTTGAGGGTAATGTCTTCGACTAGATACGATTTGTGATCTTTTGACATATTGTTCATCAAAATCGACTCCAGTTATTTATTTGTTTAACATTATTATTTTCTAAAAATTTTTTAAAATTGTTCTATTTTGTATTATCAGTATGTAATTAACATCTGCTACCATAGTTTCGAATGTTTTTAATTCAAAACAAATACTTTCATTACTTTAATAGATTTGAAACTGAATACCATAAATCTTAAAAGGATAAAAAATACAATGAGCTTTAAAAGAAGTAATAGTTGTTCTGACTTAACTGGTAATGCGACATTACAGTGCTTGTCTAGTGGCACTATCTATCCTATTGGAGAGAATGAGGTAGATTTTTTCTTTAGAAAATAAAATAAATTTAAATGTTAAGATGAACTTATTAAAAATACATATATTTTTATATGAAAATAATATTTATATTAACTTTAAGCCATCTTAACTTTGTTTTATATTTTACAATATACTTCATTTTTCTTTAAAATGGTTAAATTGATATATTATAACTCTTCAGTTTGTTATTGGAAGTTCTCCTGCCTGTTCANTAACTAATTGTAATAATTTCTTTTCGCATGAGGCGACTAAAGTGATGGGATCCTTGATCTTGATTGAAGTTATAGAATTTACATGAGATAAAAATCAAACGAGTTGAAAATTTATTCTAACTAAAAAAGAAATAAGAAAAAATGCAAACAATTTTCTTGCCATACGCGAGATGGAACCTTGTACCCTAATCGTGTATTTTACAAGTTTTACCAACTCAGCAAATGTACGTTGCTACTATCAATTGAAAAAATTGATTATTTAAGCTAGTTCAAATTTCAAAGTTAATTTTCTAGACTTCAAAAAACTGTAAATAAGTTTAACTTTCTATGCTATATCAATTTGATTTATATAATATTTATGAAAATCAGTGTACTCCTCTTGTCAGGTATTTTAAATTAAAATAAAATACAAAACCCAGAATTTTAACACAAAAATATCATATTTTTGAATAGGGTAGTCATTTTCACCATGAAGACAAATCCAGAGGTCAAATTTTTTTTTTTAAATTAAAGTATATTACATAAGCTTTAATTTAAGTTATATATAAAAGTGACAGTCTTTCCGGAACATTTTCAAAAGTCAACTTGAAAGAGTCAATTTTTGGTAAAAAAGTTATCCTTTTGAAACCATTTCTGTGGGCTGTTAAAGGGTCAAATGTTCTCAAAAATATATAAAATGATAGGTAAATATCTAAGATATCTATAAAAAAAAAATTTATATTAATTCGGTCATTTTTAAATAAGTTATGGAAATTTTAAGTAAAAAAAATTGAAGAAATGTCGAAAATTAGCGATTTTTAAATTTGTAATTTTTTGAGTGATTTCCCCCATTTACGGGGAACGAGGGAATTTTTTTCAATTTTTGAGGGTAATGTCTTCGACTAGATACGATTTGTGATCTTTTGACATATTGTTCATCAAAATCGACTCCAGTTATTTATTTGTTTAACATTATTATTTTCTAAAAATTTTTTAAAATTGTTCTATTTTGTATTATCAGTATGTAATTAACATCTGCTACCATAGTTTCGAATGTTTTTAATTCAAAACAAATACTTTCATTACTTTAATAGATTTGAAACTGAATACCATAAATCTTAAAAGGATAAAAAACACAATGAGCTTAAAAAGAAGTAACAGTTGTTCTGACTTAACTGGTAATGCGACATTACAGTGCTTGAATAGTGGCACTATCTATCCTATTGGAGAGAATGAGGTAGATTTTTTCTTTAGAAAATAAAATAAATTTAAGTGTTAAGATGAACTTATTAAAAATACATATATTTTTATATGAAAATAATATTTATATTAACTTTAAGCCATCTTAACTTTGTTTTATATTTTACAATATACTTCATTTTTCTTTAAAATGGTTAAATTGATATATTATAACTCTTCAGTTTGTTATTGGAAGTTCTCCTGCCTCTTCACTAGTAATTGAAGAAGAATCTATTTCAAGACGTCATTGTTTTATAAATAAATTCAATGGCCAATATATTATTTCTCTCAATGTAAGTCTTAAAATTTTTATTGCATTTTTATATTAATTAAGCTATCAAAGAGAATAATTAATTCTAAGTTGATCAACAATATCTGGACTACAGGGAACAGATAATAAAACTTATGTAAATTGTGTACAAATTACTATTGACCAAAATGATTATCAAATATTAAATCATGGAGATGTCATTGCTTTTGAAGATGGGAATAGATTTATTAAATATATGTACAGATTTGTTTTACAAACATGTACAAACAAAAAATTGAAGTAAGATTATTCTTAAGACATCATGTGTGTAAGTAATTTGTAGAATATGGATAAACAATACACTAATATAATCAAATCTATTATTCATTTTATTAAACGCCATCAAATGAATTAATTAATATAAACACTATGTCTAAATCAAAAATATCTGAAAAATATTATTTTAATACATGTCAGTTATTTTTATTATAAACTTTCTAATCGGTTAATATGATAATTACAAAGAGTATGAACAATATTTGTTTATAAAATATTAAATATGTATTTTACATTGACACGGCACTGCCCGTTGCTCTAGGCTGGCGCTCTTCACTGTCTCTCACGATATTGACCTTAACTGGTTTGCCTTTTTCTTGTGTGCTGTTTGTGTTTCATTGTTTTTCCGTGTTTTTTTTTTTTGGATTGCGGCGAGTGTGCTCAGTACCGATATTACCGACGACAGAAGGGTAGTTGCCCATTGTTACATACGTATAACATTATTCGAATTAAGGAAAATATCTAATATTATAAGAATCAAATATTGTCTTCCGACGTTGTTTCTTTGTTTTTACTGTTGTGCTTGTGTAAATATATATATACACATAGACATAAATATATAATATATATATATATATACCTGGAGTGCCGTACCATTTGGATACGCGTTAACTGGCTCACCGAAGAGGAATCTCAACCGGCCGAGAGAAGTTAAGGTAAGAGGCTTTGAGCCGATTCAGTTTTATTTCTAATTATATTAGATTTTAGTTTTAACGGTAAAGTCTCCCTCACAAATTTGATAGTTCATATAGTTTTTTGAACGGATTTCACTGGTGACAGCAGTGAATTTTTACCTGGGTTATTCACAGTTATATGTTAGCTTGGTCCCTGGGAAAATTTTCTTTTATAAAAATAAAGTTAGAGCAGTTTATCTAATATAATCCGCAGTAAGTATTGTCGTTTAAGGCCCGTTTCATACTAGCGTGTATATTTTTGTACGGGCAGCGTTTTTTTTTTTTGTTTCATACTATACCGCGTTTTTGCTATAGCGATTTCTATACTTAGCATCGGGTAATTCATTCACAGACCTTCATTACTCCTATAGAATGGGAATATCTACTATTAGTAAAATAGTAGAAAATTTATGCAGCGAATTATGGGGACTTAAATCTTAAATTATGCCTTTGCCAGATCAGCAAAAATGTAAAGAAATTGCTTTGGGTTTTGAAAACGATGCTAACTTTGTAAATTGCATCGGCGCTTTGGACGGAAAACATATTCGCTTAATTAAACCAATCCAGATTGGATCAGATTTTTATAATTACAAACATTACTATTCAATAGTTCTTATGGCTATTTGTGATGCAAATTGTTGTTTTACTTTTATTGATGTGGGAGCTCAAAGAAAGTGTTGTGATTCAACAGTTTTTAAAAAAACAAAATTTTACAAAAAACTAGAAGATAAAGAACTTTTATACCACCATCGAAACCCTTATCCGGCCAATGAAATCCATTACCGTTTGTAATGGATTTAAAAGTAATATTTTATACATTTTTATGCTATTCATCTGGTCCCTGGCACTTTTCAACCTTTGCTGTACTTTGTCCACTGAACCATGATAATGGTTGTTGTGGACTGTATGTCTATTTTCTGGTTTAACAGATTTTTGGGGTTTTATTATATTTAAATTTTAAGTAACACTATGAACGTTAATATATCAATTTTTATTCATTTAAATTACAACTCTATGCTAAGAAGGCACGTCTCCGAATGACTTAATTAAAAGTGGTGGTCAACGACCGTCCACGTACATGTTGATAATGATAGTCGGACTTAACATAACGGGCGCTTTAAAACACTGTTTTAAATGAAAGATTATGAAACAAATCAAATAAACAAAAAAAAAACAAAATATTATAAAATACTACAAAGTACTACAAATAAACCAAAGGAATAAAACTTTCGAATGTTAAATGTGTCGAAAAAACACACAATTGGACTCTCATAATTTATCTACACAAAATAAATATAAATAAATTAACAAATAAATAATCAAAAAATGTTTAATTTTAACAGTATGAATCATTGAAGCAATTTAATTCATTGTTTGATTGCCCTCAAAAGGTAACGGACATAATTGTCGTACCGCTCTATTAGTTTCACCGTTTGTAGTCTTAATTGTCGCAGAACGTACAACACCATCTTTACCATGCTGTACCGCTAGTACGCGACCCAACTTCCAATTCAATGACGCTACATTTTCATCGCGTAACATAACTATAGTGCCAATGTTAATATTAGGACCCTTGGCAGTGGACCACTTCACCCTTTCCTGTAATTGAGCTAAATATTCGTGTCTCCATCTCTTCCACAACATTTGGGAAAAATGTCGCACACGACGCCATCGATCTAACCGATTGGTTTGAACACTGGTTTCGTCCGCTTCTGGCACGGACATAAGCGACTCTCCAATTAAAAAATGTGCTGATGTGAGGAGTAAAGGATCAGGTGGGTCCGGGGAAAGAGTAGTCAATAGTCGAGAATTTAATCAAGCTTCTGCCCTTATTAAAATAGTATTTAGTTCCTCGTATGTTAAAAATGCCTCCCCTAACACCTTTAAAATTAAAGTTTTCATTGACTTCACAGCAGACTCCCACAAACCCCCAAAATGAGGCGAGCGCGCAGGAATAAATCGCCATTCCACGCCTTTTTCTGCAACTTGCTTAATCAGCTGATTTTTGTGCTCTTCAAATTGAAATAAATCGTAAACTTCTTTTAAATATTTATTAGCTCCTACGAAATTTGTAGCATTATCGCTGTATAAGATTTTTGCAATCCCGCGTCTATTAAAAAATCTATCTAATGCATTTAAAAAAGACTTCGTGCTTAAGTCAGACACTAATTCAATATGAACTGCTTTTGTTGAAAAACAAATAAATATACAAGCGTAACATTTTAATATGCATGCCCTTTTTCTAAGACTGTCCTTTATCATCAGCGGACCGGCAAAATCACAACCACTTATTAAAAAGGTTCTTCCCTGCTCAAAAAAATTCTAATCGTAGATAACATTGCCTGCGAGCCGCCTTGCATTAAACGTTCATGTTCGCGTAGAAATAATAAACGCGTGTATTTACACTTATCACCAGGTAACACTATATGATGACGTTGACATTCATCAATAGACAATGCATTTTTCAGTCTACCACCAACTCTAATTAAATGTTTATCGTCTAAAAACGGTCTTAATCGTAACAATTTACTTTTCTTTGACACCTCTTTACCGTTTATCAAACAACTAATTTCTTTGGCAAAATAATTATTTTGCACAATACGTATTAAATTAATATTTGCCCTATTTAGTTCATCTGGATTTATAACACTTGTTTTAAACAATTTTTTATGTACTTTAATATCTATAAATCTTAAACAATAAGCCATAATACGTAAAATTTTATTTAAAGATGAAAATTTGTCTAACAAATTAGCTTCTTCTATTACATTACCAATAAATTTAGTTGTACTTTTTCTTTCCAACATATTGCTTGAAATTTCTAATACTCCATTATTTTGACTTGGCCATTCCGTTTTATCCTTACTCAACCAAGACGGTCCTTGCCACCATAACTGCATCTCATTCAACAACTTCGCTTCACATCCTCTAGAAAGTAAGTCGGCTGGATTATCCTGAGACCGTACATGAGCCCATTCTGATGGACAAGACAAATTCTGAATTTCACCAACTCGGTGAGCAACGAATGTCTTCCAATTTGTGGATGGAGAAGATATCCACGCCAAAGCTATATTTGAGTTCGTCCAAAAGTACTTTTTTATAATATTAAATTTTAACTGTTCCATAACATTATAAGATAACCGTGCGAGTAATAACGCTGCGCATAGTTCTAATCTGGGTATAGATATTACTTTTAATGGAGCTACTTTTGATTTCCCACAAATAAGCCTTACTCTATGTTTACCATCTATATCAGTGCATCGTAAGTATATACATCCACCATATGCCTTTTCTGATGCTTCCGAAAAACCGTGTATTTCTATTGACGAATATCTTTTTCACACGTTATTTTTCGTGGCACTTTTAAATTATTCAAAGTTAACAAGCTCTCGCGATAATTTAATCAGTTTTCACTTATATTATTAGTTAATACTTCATCCCACGCTAATTTTATGTTCCATAAACTTTGAATGAAGAGTTTTGCTCTTATTATTACAGGTCCTAAAAGACCAAGCGGGTCATAAATACTGGCTACCTCAGATAATATTTTCCTTTTAGTTAAATCACATTCCGAGTAAATGTTTAAATTTATTTTAAATATAAACATATCATTAGCGGGGTCCCACGTTAGACCAAGTATTTTTGTTATCGTTGATTCAAATGCACGTTCGTTATTTTTATTTTCAACCATGTCGTCTACAACTGTGTTTTTATTAGATAACCACTTACACAGCGACATACCGGCTCGTTGAAATATACAGATAAGATCGTCGCATAATTGAACAGCTGATTCGATAGTGTCTGTGCCTCCTAAATAGTCGTCCATGTAAAAATTATTTTTTATTTCAGAACAAGCTGATGGATAATAATTTTCTTCCTGACTAGCTAAAGNAATGGATAATAATTTTCTTCCTGACTAGCTAAAGTATGTAAACAAGCAGTTGCTAAAAACGACGATGGACTCATAACATATGTGACTGTTGTTAATTTATAAGTTCCTATGGGCATTGTTGGATTTTCTCTCCACAATATTCTTTGGTAATCACAAT